TGGGGCGGAATTATCGTTTGACAGCGAAGTCAGTGTACAGCACTGGCGACCTGGTCGATGTACTTACAAATTTGTCACCTAATATCTCCTTCGTCCCATTATAGCGGACGGGTGCTTGAAATCGAAGTTTGTCAATTGGTGGCATGGCGTAGGGAATACCAAGGTATTCCGATACCTTGGTGGCATTTGGAGCTGGGTGGCCATGGACCAGACCTGAGGTTGTAGACACAGTTTGACCAATTTTCCACTTAGTACCGCAATCTGCGGTCGCAGCAAAGGGTGCTGCCAAACCAAGTATCAGAGTTTGATGTTTCATTTTATCAAATCAATAGCGGTGATATTGAAAGGAAATTCTCAACTCGGATCAGGACAGGTCGAATAAATGCATATAATGCTGCTCTAATTCAGAACTGGAAGTCTCTCTAGGTTCGTGAGGGTTTACTGCCAACTTATAGTCGACTGCTTGCAATGGCTCAATGCCATTTACACAGGCTTATATAATAGCAATATCTACTTGAGCATCTTGGTTTATGGCCCCATGTCAACTCGTAAATTGTTGTCGATGCCCGATCTTTCAACCGGGCTTATTTGCTGAACTCCGATTCTAGTCTCATAGCCGGGGGATACGGGAGTAAACCTCGACGAAACTTTGCGTTTTACGTAGACAGGACATTGCCTAATTGGGCAAATTTCCCGGATTACGCTGTGGGGTATTGCGCGTAAGCTTGTGCGTTCCGATCGCATTCAATCCGAGCTAGTATTCCGGCAACGTACACAATCATGGCCGGCAAAGCGACAAGAATAAAGCTTGTCCCTTGTAATTCTAGTGTGAAAACGCTGTATAAACACTAGGACTTACCAGGCACACGCGTAAGACCACGTGTGTGGTTGTCGCTGGCTGACACTGGGAAGTGACTACCCTTTACGTGTTGTCGGATAAAACTGCCTCTGTTGATTGAAACACGCAAGCGTTTTGCCACCAGAGTGGCAAGTGGCAACAGTAGTCGTCATACTGCTGCCTCCAGGCAGCAGTATTCCGAAAGTATTAAATATCCTAAGTTTCTAGGGTTTAGGAGGGGGAACAAGAAGAAAAAAAAAAATTTTTGGAAAAAGAAGCTTAGTTAACAATGAGTCTCATAACGTGACACGTGTCTGTACCTAATAGGTGTTTTATGAAAGCATACTTATCGGAGTCGGTGAGATTTGAAGGAATCGGGAAAGAGGAAGCCTGAGGAGGCGCTGAAAATCTGCAGCGACCAATGCAGCTATTTGTAAAGTGGAAGACAGCGATGACTTCAATTCAAGTAAGTCAAGTTCGGGGGTGGAACTTGATTACTTGAAATAAAATCCTCTGTGAACTTACTTAAATTGATTCGACTTGATTTACTTGATACGTCAGTCAGCACTAAGCTATTGTTATAGCGCTACGGTACTACCATGCCTCCTCTTCACCCAAACCCATCCCTTCCCCGCCAAAACTAACAACCTCACCCACCGTCATGGCCTGATGGCCCAGCCAGTTCCGCAGACACTGTATTTCCTCTGTTATTTTGGGACTTAGATTGTGTCTTTCCGAGCTTATTGTTAACGTCGTCGCACTAAAAGTCCGCTCAGGATCGGCAGATATCGCAGGAATCGCCAATATGTCAAGGGCAAACTTGCTCAAGCGTGGGTATTCTTCTTGGTGGTCCTTCCACCACAGAATAGGGTTCAAGTTCTCCCGCCGGATCGGTCCTTGCCTCATGTAAGCTGCGAGTTCATCGTCTTCCTCCATCATGTGCCGATCCTGGCTCTGCATCCACTGGTCGAATTGACTAGGCTCGGCTTGCCGTATCGCTTTTGCGGTTACGGTTTTTACTCGATCAGATGGCTCATTGGCTGGATAGTGTAGTTCAAAGTATTCCCAAACGCTCTTCTTGGCGTCTCGCAGCCATACCAGCTGCTCGCGGCTGGTCCAGTTCGCCTCAAGCCAAGACACGTTCCAACGCGGGTGAAGAATATCGGCAGCTGGGTAAAGCGGGGACTGGCCAAGTAGAGTGTAATACTCATCGAGTTTTGACCAACAGTTATTGATAGAGATTTGTATGCATCGTCGGTGGTCATCATCAATACTCTCAGCTTGCGAGATTGTACTAGTATATTCGTCTCGAGTGTGCTGAGGCAAGTGTTTCTCGCGTCCGTGGCACTGGTCAGCTTGTAGCCCACTACATCCTGTAGTACTATTAGCAAATAGACTTGAGGCGAGCGAAGACGACTAGAAAATCATACTCGTGGCTACCGAGGCTCGCGCATTCCGTGGCTTATTAGCACCTGCGTCAAGCGGCGAGAAGATCAGCTTCTGCTCCTCGAAGAAGGTAAACAAATATTCCATTCCGATCATAACTTCCCACAAGGCGCCGTAACGGCCCTCCTTCGCCCAACCCTGGCACCGCATAGTGATTTCGTAGAGCGGTTTTAAAAAGCTCTGCATCTCCGTCAAGAGAAGCCAGTCCTGCGGTGAGAGATGATCTTGGATAGGCACACGTTGCCGGGGTTCTGCTGCCTTGGTTTCGAGATACGCAATGAAGTGGTCAATCTGCTCTCGTTTCGAATGGCACGCTGGATCATCGGAAAGGTCTAATTCCATCTGATCTCATTGTTCTGCATCAACTCGAGGTCAATTGCTGCTCGCTCCTCCTCAAAGAGTTGGTAGTGGTCATCATCGCGTTGGTTGCATGCCAGAGATTTCCTCAACTCTCGCCGTTGCGGAGAAGCCCTAAGAATCGGACGATGTTGTGCAGCTTGCCGACGGCGCCGCGTTTTCGCCGAAGTCGAAGTTCACGCTCTTCAACTTGGAAGGCCGCCTCTGTGAAGGCTTCTCGTTCAAACGAGTCAGCATCTTCTCCCCAGAGAAGCGCTCGACCTGCAAGGCCGGTCATATGTCCAAAGCATCTTGTTCGATGGTTCCTAATGTCCTCCTCGGTCATCGCAGGAGACAGTTGACGAAAGAGGCTCACCAACCATGTATCATTTGACGAGGCATTGTCGCAGACACCCGCGCCAATCCGGTCGCGTATCCCGTACTCGCCGAGGACGCCATATATTGTCGTTGCTTGGTTGTCTCCGGAATGAGATCCCCACACGCGACGGAGGGCAAGAAGCCGCGATTGAACCTTATAGGAAGCGTCGAGATAGTGAGCATGGAGACCAAGGAGGGCGTAGCGGTTGGGAGAAGTCCACATGTCGAAGCTAAAGCTAATCCTTGTGACTGCATTCCTCAATTGAGTCGATATTGCTCCCTTCTTTGCCTCAAATAGTTTCCGCACGGTATCGCGAACCGACTGCCGACTCCACGGCACCTCCTTTGCCAATGATGCATCGTGCAAGTCGAGAATTCTTCGCAAGTAAAGGTTCGATGGCGCTGTGAAAGGAAGGTTGGCAGTAACGATCCAGCTGACTGTCAACTCCTTGGCTTTATTAACATTGCATCTTGCAGTAGGCAGCTCCACGCAGCGTCGTTTCGAGGGAGGGTATGTAACAGCGCAAAAAGAATCGTCCGCTCCGCATCGCCCAACGAGTCGTCCGTTCGAGTAATCAGATGGGACCTAGATGCGGTAAGACGCAGAAAGAATAAATGTCCAACCCGCACGGAAATCACATACCTCCGGAGGCGCTCAATTGGACATGTGGTATTCGACGTGACGAACAGCGAGCTCTTCCCATGTTCATCACATTTGGAGCAGACCCAGTAGGACTGCAACGTCCGCAAATCAGGACTGACTTCAGTGAGGAAGAACCCGTAGGCTTGAATCCAGCTCCGCCGGCCTTTGCGATTTTTGTTTGCTATATATATCCTCAGGTATATACCTCTTGCAGCCGATTTGGACCGTTGGGAGATCAGCGAGAGTTGTTCTCCCTATTTCAACATTGATGGACGCAGAGTCAAGTTGCTGTTTCAACGATTTGCGCTGCGTGGCAATCCCTAGGAGCATTTCTAGAGACTGCTGTTGTGCTGGCGGGACGATAGCGGACCGCGGATCGCTGCCACTGCTTGCCAAGGCACAACTTGGGACTCTAACTGGAAGGCGACTAATAGGCGGACGGGGCCCCGTCCCTCTAAAACTGGACGGGATCCCGTCCAATTACCAGTTTAGGTATCGCGCCTCCGCTTTCGGTGCCGGCCCACGCGTCGCGTTTGCAAATCAATTAAGCTTCGTTTACAACGCGTCCTAATTCATTGCCGATGTTTGACACTTCTTCGAAATATTCTGTAGCCAATATGGATCCCGTCCGCCTATTAGTCGCCCAACTGGAAGCTTGACGCGTACCGATGACAGTAAAGGAACCCAAGCCCCAGTCGTCGTGGGTGCAATCCGACTGGCCGGAACATCAGCTCGCTACCCTACCCTATATTTAGGCCGCGGAAAAAAAAATTCAACAGGACAATATCGCAGCTGCCAGATGCCTTCGAGGCAAACCATCAGAATCGTCGCAGAGTCTTCCTGACTTTTTAGACCTTGGCGAAAACGCACCGAATGACGGAAGTCCGCTGGATACCCGGACACACCAAGATTCCAGGAAATGAACAACCCGACGTCCTGGCGAAGGCGGGGTGGGCCCAACCCAATGAACAACCCGACGTCCTGGCGAAGGCGGGATGCGCCCAACCCGAGCCCGCAGACGCAGTCCCAACACTGGCCTTCTTGCGCAGGACCGCTAGACAGCGGGCCAAAATCGCAGTCCAAGCCTGGTGGGATGCTTCTGCACCAGATAAGTATCAAAGTCTGACCCTCAAGTTCCCTTCTAGCTGTCCTCCCGAGTTAGGCCTCCCAAGAACAATCCTTCACCACCTGTTAGCCGCGAGGAGTCACCATGGTGATTTCGCTGACTACCACGAAAGATTCCACCACAGCGATGCTTGTATTACATGCTCTTGCGGTCGGCGGAAAGCACCGACACATCTCTTCTTTTGCCGGAAGATTCAGCCGCGCTGTCGAATGAGGCTTGCTCCCTCACCGACCGTGGCGATCAACCAGGCAATAGGTAGAGATTTCGACAAATTCGTCAAGCTGGCGAAGGCAAGCTCTTTCTTCGAGAAGATCTGCCCGCACCACTAGACGAAATTCTCTATCACAGCACTCTCGTGCTCCCTTTCCTTGTTTCCTCTTCCTTGGCGGCGACAGGCGGAAGGTGGTCTCAACACCTTTTGCCCGCGCACGCCTTTTCTGGCTGCTACCGCAGCCCGAACTATAGACCGACCAGGTCTTATAGATACCACCACCTGCACAACCCGCTGACGGGTAACAGAGTAGACTGTGAGCGCCTTTGAGCTGATGCCATGTTAGATAGTGTTTTGTTTACGTAGCTGGAAGCAGCAAATTTAGCACTAGCCTAGCACGTCCTGTGCCCCGCATAGGGGACCTGAGTGGCCTGAGGCCACCGGACGGAAAATACACACACGGTGGAGCCATTACTCGTGCCACACCCCACCTCTTAGGTGGGGTGTGGCACGTGCACTTGCACAAAACTCCGTCGTATTTCCAGACAAATGGGGTGGAATACAAACGTGTACAGCTTCCAATCATCAACGCATTTGCGTTGACAATCCATAAGGTTCAAGGTCTGTCACTGCCAGCTGTTACCGTGGCCTTGAATTCTAATATCTTCTCTGACGGACAAGCATATGTGGCATTGAGTAGAGGAAAGGATCTCGAACAGGTGTATTTGACCCACTGTGATCTTGAGGCCATCAAGGCAGACCAGAAGCAATAGCTGGGTACGAAAGACTGGAAGCTAAAGCAGAACAACTCAATAGATCACATTCTCAGTGACCTTGCTTCCACTCAGCCATGCAACTGGCCGATCACACAGCGCATTCGAACTTGGTTGATACCACCAGGTCGCTCCGCACCACCGGTTGGTTCCTTGGTTTGCGGCGGCGGAAGTTCGATGTCTATTCCTGCCTCTGTCGCCCAGATCTGGAACTCAGAGTCCCTTTGGAACGGTAAATTGATGATGGCCCTTTCGTTGTCGATCCTGATTTTGCAGATCGATGCACCTGTGTGTCTTTTGATGCGAGCCTCAAAGTCCTTGATAGCCTTGCTGACCTCGGGTTTGGAGGTCAAGGACCAGGAGAACATCATGCCGCTGAACTCATCGGTGATGAGCAAAACGTAACGGCGTCCGTTGTATGCCGCAGAGAACTCGAAGATATCGATGAATACCCGGTAAAACGGTTGTCCTGACCGGTGTGGTGATTCCCTGCGGGAGATAATCTCAGTTGCCTTGCTTGTACCGCAAGCTGTACATTGAACAGTTGTAGGACCCTTGATTCGGACTCCCTTTGTTTGCATGACAAGCTGTTCAAGTACGCGTGGCCCTGCATGGCAGGCTCGACGGTGCCAGATTTCAGACGAATCCAATCGTGGTGGAGGCGGAACTCGTGAAATTGCCATTCTTTGCCGTTTCGGCTTGAGGTTGCTTGTCCGGGAGGAGGAAAGCACATCCTGGAATGCGTTGAACACGGAAACGGGCGACTGTGGAAGCTTGAAGTAGGAGCGTGAAACAGGCTTGTATTCGACTACATCAAGATCATACTTGTCGGTGAGCCTACAAAGAACATCATTGTTCTCATAGGTGCCCACACGAAGCGTGTTATCAACCCCACAGCGCCACAATCCCTTCTTTTCAAGTCTTTTCGCGCTGACGATGTTTGTGTGAAATCTAGGCACATACGCAACATCAAGAAGGACAAGCGCTCGTGTGTTTCTTCCGTCTTCGCCATCCAGAACGTTTTCCATCCTTCGAGTGCCTCTCGCCTCGACCTTCAGGGAACCTTCTCCAATCATGACATAGTCGGTCTCCTCGGCTTCGCGGATGTCGATCAGCAGACCCTTGTCATTGACAATATGGGTAGTTGCTCCACCATCATAGATCGTCGAGTTGTAAAGAGGATGCTTCTCGCGTAAGGCAGCGAAAACCGAGTCGGTATTTCCACTGGAGAGGTCCTTTGCGTCGATTGTCAAACCGGCAAAGTCACCATGCTTGCGTGGATTTCCTTTATCCTCTGGTTGGCCCGTCTTGGCGGTAGCTGTCGAAGCTTTAACTGAATCCACTAGGCTCTTCCATTTAGCTTGCTTTAGTGCTTCCTTGCAGGCTTTGACGCGACTGGCCTTGGCGTGCCTTCCATCCTTGGACTCGCCGTTGATGGCAACTTGCACAGCAGCGCAGTCGACCGGCTTCCATCGGTGTATGGACGGTCGCAATCCGCACGGACAAGGGCTTTGGACTACGTCAGACGCGGCAAATGCACTGTCGGCCAACTTGCCAGCCATTCTGGTGCTCCGAACTTGTTCGTGGAATAGCTCGCCCAACGCGGGAAGCGTGACATCCATCTTGAAGCCGAACTTCTTGCTGGTCATGATTTGAACCTTCTGCTGGCTTGCCCAAGTTGCATCGAAGGCAGAGGCTGCTGTGAGGAAGTCGTTGAGGGCAGATTGTCCTTCAAGCTCAGCGATCTTTTGCCTTTCGCCTTCTAGTTTAGCCTTATTCCAAGCCACGAGCCAGTCCTCTGGTTTAACCCTCTTGGTCTGGGCCAGGACCTGCCGGTATCTCAAGCGTGCCTCCTCCTTCTGTTCGTCCTCAGAGGGTGCAAGGCTTGATTTGAGGTCACGGACCATAGTGCGAAGGTCTGACTTAGAAGTCGTGTTGCCAAGGTAGGATTTATCCACGGTTGAACGGACCCAGACAGCAAGCTCAGCGTAGCCGCGCTGACGATTAGCAAAAGTCGCGAGCTTAACCCGATATTCTGACTGTAGACGGGTAAGGTACATCCATTGCTTGTCGGTTAGGTCTGTCAGCGGCTCGGGTCTGGCTCCGGCGGCTTCCGGGTTCTGCTGGGCAGCCCGTTCCCAAGTGTCAAGAACAGCCTTGTTCAGCTGTATGAGCATATCCTCAGATGTCATGGGCTCCTTTGGCTCTTCCAAGGTCGGAGAATCTCTGTCAATATCGACGAAGTCGAATATCTTAGAAGTCTCAGCCCTAGAGACGAAGTCCTCGTACCAAGCAGTCCATTCAGATGGCTTGGAGAGTGTGACCTCGGACTTGGTTGACATCGTGAAGAATGTTCAGCACGAAACAGCAGGACGATTGCAGGTATGCGGCAGGACTCAGATCTGTGATGTGATGTGTGTTGATAGGCGTCGTACAAGGGATACTTGCACGACGGTCAGAATCAGCTATGATAAGCTCTTGAGCGCTAACGGGCTCATAACTGTCAGACAATTGAGGGTCGCAAAAGATCGAGTATAATGGCGCCGAAGGCGCCAATTGCATTAAGTGAGAATTATCTAAGGAGCAAGAACTCCATTAAGAGTTGCACGGGAACCGTGCAGCTCTTTATACACAAAAGAAACCTTTGATAGTTTAGGCAGTAGCAGCTGCCTTGCAGGCAGCTGCTGCAGTACCCCACATGAGGTACGATCAGGGTAGGCCTGATATGCGACAGAGGAGCAAGCGGTCGTTTGGTCCAAAGCCATTGTTTGGGTTTAGAGCCGAAGGAGCGCTCTGGTCAGCCAAAAATTCCCACAGGACAAAGTTAACCAATTTAACGATTCTACCCCCATGTGACGTCCACGAATAAGAGAGCAGAACAGTGCATCCATTTTGGATCCTGGCAGTATGGAGCAATTTCATCTACCAATGCTTGTTCCCTGTACCCAGACGACTTCTGATCCATTTCTTTCTGGTATGGAGTACTTAGGGTTACACTGTCAACGCACCAATAATATGTCAATTTTTTTTTTTTGTCGTGTAGCATATTCACATTTCTGCTCACATTTCTGCACCGTCTTTCGCTATGCGCCGCCCTTATTCATGTGCGATGCAGCGGGAACGCAGGTGCATGTTGTAACTTTCCGCATGTTGGTGGGCTGTGTAGCTGCCTGCTCAGTTGTTCGCTCATCGTGTCCTGCCTCTTGTGTCGGTCCTCGTGGTCTTCGTGGAGGAGATAATGAGCGGCAGGACATGTAATATAGCCCTGTTGTGAATGCTAACGAGGGTTAGTATACGCAAACCTCGGAGGACATGCCTTTGGCTCTTGTCGATGCCAGAGGACACATTTGTTTGCCAATAAACCTGTTGAAAGTCGCGACCCCATAAATTTGCCGGGTAAGATCTGCCGCCCGCCATTGCCTGTGTTTGAAAGCACTGGTGTCTGTTGGGTTGCAATGCAATGCAGAGGGTGGAACGCGGCTTGGGATCAGCATGGAATGTCTAGTTGGGTGGCCCATGAATCCGATTCCCCTTAGCCACAACTTTGTGCTTTTGGTTGGGGGACATTATGTGTGGAACAGGTACGTACCTGAAGTTATTTGTGGGTACTCTCCTCAGGGCGCCCAAGATGCTAGATGTGGTAGCCCGCATGCAGAATCTCTCTTGAGAAAATGCATGCGGAATTCACCAACTAGCCCACGACGCGAGACTTCTTGGGGCTATATCATCGACCTGACTAGCGGGCATATCCAATCGCGAACAATCCGGGGAGTCTGCGTTAGAAAGGACATCAGGACAGCAGTGTAGGAGACGGGCTGAAGATGCTATGATCTTTGTTCCTAAAACCTTGTTGTGCGATAGTCTCATGGGAGGGAAAGTTGACGGGCCACAACGATAGTTGCAGCTCAAAAAGCGCCAGGTGATGCTGGTTAGAAAGAAGAAAGAAGGAGGCTGATATATCCTGCGATTGGTCGCGTACCTGCCAAATGGATGTTTGTGTCAGATGAAACAGGGAGGAATGCAATGAAAAGCGGAAGAGGCTGGTGAGGAGTATATATTCTCCGCAAGCTGGTATTGTTAACAATACCTCAAGTTCTGTGCTGTTCTGATTCGCTGGCATCCCACCCGAGAACCCCCACATAGAGTCTTTTGTGTTTGCAGCTGAACACGGTTCTCCTCCGTTGCTTCCCCATAAGCAGCCCCCTTGATCAATGTCAACACTTCGAAGGCGAACATTTCCCCCTCGATCATACCCTTAAATACTTCATCGAAACAGCCATCATATCCCTATCCCACTCCAGCCGCGTACCGGAACTGAAAATATACTCTGTATCTCGTGGAATATTCTCTTCAACAGCACATATATGAGCTGCCGCAACATTGCCGCATGCGTGGGCATACTGGCATATGGGAACGGTGGATTTAGGGAAGTCGGAAGAGCGGGGTCCATCAATGCAGCCTGAGATTCCTGGGGGAGGAAAGATACAGAACCATAAAAGCTTGTGCTGATCAAGGATAAGACTAAGAACGTATTTTGGTATAGAATCAGACGTAACCCTGTTTCCCGATTCGGTCTGCCTCCTTTGTCCGAAGATGAAAGCCATCATTGCTGACTTGTCGCCTCAGCCCAGCTTGCCACATCCCGCTGCGAAGCTATGGGAATAGGGCGTTGCAATAATCAGAAAAATATTGGATGTGGGGGAACCGCAATGCAAGGGCAAAACATCAGTTGATTTAGTCATGCGACCAATGTCCTAAACGCTTCACTCGAGCGCTCAGTTTACGCTCGCACATTAGAACACATATTCCAACCGTCGCGACCGCGCCAGTTCGGTACACCGCCCGAACACGCCGAGCAACACATATCCGACTTGCAGAGTGTACGTCTTGTCGGGCCAGGTTGGCATATTAAAAAGGTGATGCGGTGCGACCCTGTTTGATGCGTGCCATCGTGCGGCATGTCGCTAACGATTCATAGGGACTGATGGTTGTGTCGACAGCTCAGCACTGCATCAAGGCCAGAACAGAGACAATCAATATCTCTTAACCACCATATAGCTTCGAAATGGAGACCCGATGTGCGCCTGGCTCTGCGACTCAATTTTCTCACCTCCCCTGGGCACCTTCCCACCGGCAGTTGACCGTTTGCTTATCCTGTCCAGTTCAAAAGGCCACCGGCATGCTTAGCTACGGTTGTCTATGGCTTACTTGCTTTACAGGTCCAAACCTCTTGGCCCTAACAACCAATCCTGCATAGCAAGCCATTCGCTCCAACTGGCTTCCGCCGACTGGATTTCCTCTTCCGTTATATATTGTGGTGATACCAAAAAAGGGACGGTCTGTTCTTCGCAGATATCGTAGTGAGATTTGACACCCAGCCAATTCTCACTCTTTGCTGCTAGGAGGAAGTTCTGATGCTCCGCTTGTACAATATAGCCAACGCCTAATTTCCACTGTTCGCCGAAGAAGCAACTCATAACATATGGAGAAGCTAGCCCTGTGACTACCAGACGACGAATATATGGAATAGGTGAAACAGAAACCAGAGGCGATGGACATTTTGCGTGCTCGGAAGCTGAGTGTACAGTTGATGGCCTGGGCTCACAGTGACAGTTTTGGGATGGCAGGCGAATATTGGCAAAAGCTGCGATCATTCGAACCTGGTTATTGTGTTGGGCATGTTGTACAAAGTATTCAACACAAGATGTATATGCCGAATAGCGATCGCAAAAGCGGGATAAGTGCTCTTGTGTAGTCTGGACATGTTAACGAATCGACCTAGTCTCTTCTATTAAGGGACATACCTGTTGCATCGTCTCCACAATATGCTTCTGTGCTTTCTCACAACAGTGCTGGACGGCCATGTGCCAAGCATGAGAATGGATTTCATTCTGTCCTGGACTTTTCTCTTTTTTAAGCTTTGTCTCCTTTTATTGATGTACCTGTCCCTTTTTGTTCAACTAATTTTCACCTTCCGATTGATTGACAGATCTTTTTTTCTCTAGCCCTGTGAAGTGGTTTCGGGGATGGCCGGCGGCCCGTTGGGTGGGCATATTGAAAAGTCTGAGACACTTTTCGGCCTGGTATTCACAGGGTCGGGATGTGCGCTTAGCTGTGTTTGACATGGCGGAGAGCATGCCGTTTATCTGCTGTATGTTGACGATTATTTGGTACTTCGTATGCACTTCATGACCCTCCATTATGCCGGGACATAAAGAGACCTTCATCTTACACGACTGACTGGTCATCCATATTCACCGGTGGCTCGTAGCCACCATGGTTGTAGAAATCCGCAGTCAAATAGTAAAAGAAGCGCAGTAGAACTCGCTCAGGGTAAAAAGGCGGCCGCTCAAAGATCCTTCTGCTTCTCATTGCAAGTTGTGACTTGAAAATCCCTGGCAGACAAGTCACCAAGTTCAATGTGATACAACAGAGACATGCATGAACAATTCGAGCCGGTCGTGATGTGACCGGTGTCGCGACGTGTCGGCGCTATGCTTGGTCTTGCTGCCGAGGAGCAGAGTTGGTAACATCGGCAGCTCAGCAACGGAGTGTACAAATGGGGAATACTCGATTCTGCGGGTTTTCATTCTCGACACTTTTTTGAGGAAAACGTCTCCCATCGCCAGACGCATGAAAGGTAGCGACCCCTAGCTTGACACAGCCAGACACTGCTGGCTATGGTGGATTGGACAGGGGCATGTCGAGAAAGTATGGCCTGGGAAACCCACACAATCCAGTGCTTACCCATATCATATTTGGCGGGATACGTTCAGAGAAAATTTCCTTGGCCCAAACGGCGGAATGGTGAAGCGTGTGATACCGAACTACAATTCGAAGAGGAGAGCCAGCCCGTTCGGAGTGAGATCCGAAGGTTCTCCTGCGAGTCATGCGAGTCCTGCGAGTCCGTGCTCGAGGGTTGACAGAAGCCGTGGGTCGTTGCAACAGGGAAGCCACACCCACGAACACCAGATACTTGTGGCCAGCGATGTAACCACGGCAGGAAATGTGACGTCGGCTTGAGGAACATCCATGTCTAGTGTTCTTCAAGACTCCCTTCATCAGAAAGCCGCTGACATATCCTGTCATATTCCTTTTCAACTATCATATTTCACCCTGGATTTCACATGGCTCAGCGGCTCCTTTCTTTGCACCTGCAGACGAGCCATATTGTTAATAAGAAAAGATTTTCAGGCATCTTCTTTTTCAGGTAACTGAAAAGTCAAGCCCTGGTCTCCCCAGACCGATATACCCGTGACTAAATACGTCCATGGTTGCCTACCACCCAAGTCGGCGGGTCGGGGAGGGCTCCGGTTCCTTGGGAACGGTGCGGATCCAAGATTGAGTGTCCCGTTCGTAGCTCCCAGGCGTTGTGCGCAACCGCGGGTGACAGCCATTCTTTTGGTTGACACAGCATGCGATGTGCTGTGTCAGAGCTCGGCATGCACAACTTGGTGAACGCAACAGCGTGCTGGTGGAAGTGGCGTCCACGTCGCCCACCTCGACCTGAGATACGCTGCTGTGAGACTCTACGATACCAGACTGAGGGGTTGTTGAGACAGTGGAGGTTCAAGCTGGCCCGGAAATTGCACAAAGCAGCCCCTCCTCAGCTTCAGGCGACTCATCACATTTACCTGAATCCTCCCTCCCAATAAATATCATCATTTGTGTGCCATGTGCGGTGGTATGACACTCCGTTCGCCAATCACGCTAGGGTCACCAATCTGTAGCCCACAGCAGCCCATGGTGGTGTCAAGTGGAGGAAGGGGGTTCTCGGCAACTACAAGATCGCAGGGTGGACAATTCGCTAGTTGTGCTCCTCCCGTCTCTGACCCGTTTAAGACGACTTGTCAACAGAGTCTTCTGAGTCTGCACCTGGCTCCTCGAGCGTGAGAATGGCCCTGGGTGACAACGCGTCACGACACGAATGACTACCTCCTCTCCCTCTTGCCTACGACGTACCGAACAGAGTTTGGTGACTTGGCCGGCCCAATTCACAGTTTGCTCGGGATCGGCGATTGTCCATGCCCGCCCGCGTCCACTACACCAAGCCGTCCTGATCTGTCTAGAAGAATACCGCCAGACTGGAGGGTTCAAGAAGTAGGGTGTCGACCGACATTTCTTGAGTCGTGAATTGTACTAAGATTTATAGGAACCCATCTAGCGAAAAATACTTCATGGGCGATTTAGAGCATTCCATCGAAACCTTAAGAATACAGGTCAAGCCACTTCGAGCTTTCCAGGTGGCGAAAGATAGAGCGAGCTCATGTCTTGAAGATGGATAGTATCCCATCGGACATCTATGCCAATGACGACAAGCTACCTGACACTGGCTCATTAGGTCGTTTCCCGGATGAGATCATTCAGCACCTCCTTCGCTTTGTCCCACCTAGGGATATTTTGCAATGCTTTCAGCTACTGTGTCATCGTTTCTATAGGTTAGCAAATGAAGGCTTGCTTTGGAGATATCATTGCCGGAGTACCTTTAAATACTGGCACCCGGGTCATGGCTTTGGCGAAAAGCTGCAGGCGACGGTGGCAAGTGTCGACTGGAAGTACTTGTTCCTGTTGAGAACACGCAGCAACCATACCATCTCCCAGCTTCTTGATGGTATTGTGGAAACCAAGGTTGGCCGTTTAAAGAAGATTGAGAAGATTTGTCGTCTGGGGTATGACGCCAAGGACTTCCTTTTGGTCCAATGTCATATACATGAGTCCGCGTCAGATGTTCTAGCGAGGAGGTAATTAGCCCGATCTACCCTGCCCTGCCTTACAAGCAGTCAGCCCAGGATAATTGAAACTCGACTCTTAGATATTTTAGCAATGCCATCCTCGACAACATTCATCGGAGCATCGCCCTTGAGGAATGGTCCAGGCTTGGTCTGGATCGCGATTCGCTGTCTGCACAAGATGCCGCGCAGAGACTCGAAAGAGCACTCGGCGCCTTTGACATGTTCGTGTTACACGACCAAACTGGTGACCTAGATGACGTATGTCGTCATACAAACTGCTCTCTCAATGCTTGATTGACAAACTCTCTGATTGGCTTTGCTTAGATTTCCCAGATGTTGGACGAGTTAGTTGCTCGATTTCGAGTCAGTTGCACTGACCTTTCAGAGCTTACAACTCGAGAGACAGCTTTGGCATTGAACAGATGGGTGCGCGCTAATAATTTAACCGGCCTACGTAGGCCGGAACAGAATTATCGAAATCTTCGAAATTGTTTAATAGTGGCATTGAACAGATGGGTGCGTGCCAATAATCTAACCGACCTACGTAGCACGGAACAGAATTATCGAAATCTTCGAAATTGTTTGATAGGTCAGGCGTTGCGGCATGAAGAACATGAGTCTATTCCACTCATATCCAGTGCCATATTTTGCTGTCTCGCCGCGAGACTGGGGCTCAATGCTCAATGCTGTGCTTTGCCTAGCCACGTCTATGCAATTGTCTTCGCTCAGTCCGGATATACTTTGGACGGGGATGTTGATTGCTACCGTGAGCAACCAGAAAGGATGTACCTCGATCCGTATGGGCTCGACAACGAAGTCCCTGCTTCCGACCTACATAACCTACTAGCTCACTATGCATGGCAAACAAGCACAGGTGCATTTTTAGCTCCTGTGCCCCCCATAACAATGGTGCTAAGGACCGCTCAAAATATCAAGGCGACTTTTGCCAGGATTCTGGAACTACAAGACGACGCCCACCCAGAATTGAGCCAGCTTCTGCGTGGTAACGACGCAATGAACGTGGATGCTGCACTGTATTCAGCCATGTGGTCATCTCTGATGCTGACGCCTCCTGATACTTTTGAATGGAATGATAGGTTAGCAAGTTTTCTACACCGATTTGCTGGGTCATGGCCCGAAGACGTATGGCTGGTAGAGAAGTATCTTTGGCCCATGTATAACAGTTTCACTGCGCTTCGTCATGGGTTTGCCCGTCATGTAAATCGCGGCTTGGGAGACCCGTGGGATCACTGGCGTTTGGCTCGAGACCAAGATGACCTGATACCACCCATGTCCCGGAGAGATTTGGACGGCAATCAGTCAGTGAATTTTAAGATCGGCCAGGTTTTTCGACACAGGCGTTATGCTTGGATAGGCGTGATCACTGGCTGGCCTGACCAAGGCACACAGCATTTGCCTGTGGCAACGTCTCGAGACACAGATGACGAGTCAGACACTGCCGCCCCGGGCGAACACCCACGAGTACCTGTTCGGCTACCGAATCAGTTCTATTTTATGTGCTTGTAAGCCCCAGAAGCCCTTCCTCTCCGATGTAGTAACTCCGTTGTTTGTTTCTGTTCGCTTGTGCTGACTGTGGGTCCTTGGAACAGTCCAAGCAATGGGTCTGAGCCAAATATTATAGCAGCTGATAACATTGAGCTCATTGACGATTTTAGGGGTTGTAGCTGCTGATAACATCGAGCTCATACATGATTCTAGAAACATCGATGATACCATGTTTCCCATGGCAGGAAAGTTTTTCAGACGTTTTGATCCAGAATCTTGTAGATTCGTATCCAATATCAAGGAGCAATATCCAGGTGATTAATGACGTTAACCCAATGATCATGAAATTACTTCGAACAGCCCGGTAGGGTAATACTTTGTACTTGCAATTCAACTTCCTGGGGGAATCCCTACCACCCGGCTTCCACCGAGATCTAGATTGAGCAGATACAACCTCGGGGGAAGCACTTATATTTTTTCTTCTTCATATCATATATGCAATGCTCTTCTGTGGATTCGCATGTCCGTGAGCATGGATAATTTAGTAACTCCATGAGCCACGAGCCTGAAAAGCCCAGTCGTACGCCCAATAATCGCCAGACGATAGGGTTTTCCTGTATACTGACGAAAAGTGGAATAGCTTACGTTGAGGATGGCAGGGGAGGTATTAATATTGTAATTACAGGAAGTACAAAGCAATTAAGAGGACGGGGGAGAATGGAATGAAAAGAGAAGGGCTGATAAGTAAGATCTTGATGGTATTATTAACAATACCAAATCCCGCGCTGTTCTGATTCGCTAGCATCCTGCACGTTCGTAACAGCCAGTGGCAGACAAGCTGCACTTGTCTGGTGCGTGGCCACGTTTAACGTCGTCTTGGAAGCAGGTCTGTGGCTATGCACCCACGCATATGGCGCAGGTTTTCCGACCGTGTTGCATCTTGTTGCTTCTCAGAAAATAAAACAGAACGACCCAAAATCGAGATGAGTTAGGGACTTAGCCCGAGGTTGAGTAGGCCCCTATGTTCATTAGTTACTGCCATGCGTGACAAGATGGAAACCCCATCACGTCCAAAAGGCAAGAAACTTCCTTTCAAGGCAACGGTTTTGTGCAAGGTGACTTCACAGAATGTCGAGACAATCCATGATGAGAAACTGTCGGCGGAAGACGATGGACTCGACTTATTTCGCAGATCTAAGGAGATGGAGCCTATAATAGCTGCGGAGCTTCAGAGAAGCCTAAAGAAGAAGCAGAGGCTGGAGGACGAACGACGTCAGTCCGCCAAGTCCAAGAGACTTCTCGATGACAATATCGAAAGAGAAGTTATAGCAAACGCCGAATCTGGAACGTTCTCTCAGGTAGCTCGAAGCATGTCCCCCGTCGCTAGTGAGCTTGTTAAAGACAGCAGAGAAATAGTCAGGTTAGTATATATATGCGCATATCTGCGTGATGTGGGCGTCATGCAGCTTACAATTACGAGCAAGTTTGTCACGCCACTGGCATCGAAGAGAATGCGTCTAGACTCAACACTCCTAAGGAATGCAAGTCTTGATATGGACAATGCGGACACCACACTTGTCGCATAATGCCTCTGTAGACTGAAGTCGCAGAGCTTGGAGTAATTGCTGGATGTCATAGCGTCGGCTATCATGACTAAACTTAGCCGAAAGTTAGATTCGGACGAAAGGAAGTTTTTTGGTATTAAAAAGAGAGCTGCAGACGGAGTCTGCAGCACTCGCAACAACAAGAATAAATATTTTATCAAAAAGCTTAGTTTAATATGAGTCTCATAACGTGA